CGTCCCTTCTCCATAACCTGCGGCGGAGCTCCGGGCGGCGGTGGGGTCTGCGCAGCTGGTAATGGTACAGTTTCCCGTGGTGATATATCGGTGGTTTGTGGTTAAATTAGTTCATATCGATCACCTGCGGCGATACACTGGTAGTTGAAGCCATTTGTTGCTATTTCACAGAATCGTTCGGGTTGGAAGGGACCTCTGGGGGATCGCCTCCAGTCCGACCCCCCTGCCAGGGCAGGGTCGCCTGGAGCAGGTGACCCAGGAATGCATCCACAGAGGAGACTCCACGACCTCCCTGGGCTCCTGTTCCAGGGCTCTGCCACCCTCAGCGTAAAGAAGCTCTTCCTCATGTTGTAGTTCAGTTTATGGCCATTGCTCCTGGTGTATTTCAGGTGTCTCCGCAGCAGGCGGGAGCTGCAGCGAGGATCCTGAGGCTGTGGGAGCGGGGAGGAAGCGCCTGTGACGCAGACGATTATAAGCCCGGGCGGGACAAGCTTTCACCAGAAGCAGCAGAGTGGCGCAGCGGAAGCGTGCTGGGCCCATAACCCAGAGGTCGATGGATCGAAACCATCCTCTGCTAGCTACGTTTTTTTCTTTTTTATCCCCCCTCTCCCCGAGACCTATCGGCTCCGTCCTCGCTGCTGGATATTTGTGGCTGTGGGGAACGGTGGTATTATTTTTCCTAAACCATCTCGACCAGATGCAGTGGAGCGGGTGCAAGTAAAGTATGGACAGAGCACGGCATGGTGTGGTGCTTACAGCCCTTCTTCTAGCGTGATTTGATGGTTTCATGGAGTCACAGGGTGGTTTGGGTTGGAAGGGACCCTTAAAGGCCACCCAGGTCCTGCCAGGGGCAGGGACAGACCGGGTTGCTCAGAGTCCAGTCCAACCTGGCCTTGAATGTCTGCAGGAGTTGGGCATCCACCACCTCTCCGGGCACCCTGTGCCAGTGTCTCAGGACCCTCAGACTAAAATGTTTCTTCCTTATCTTTCTTATAAGATAAATATATAAGGCCTCTCAGAGCCTTTTCCAGGCTGAGCAACCCCAGCTCTCTCAGCCTTTCCTTGTAGGAGAAGTGCTCCAGCCCCTGGAACATGTTCATGGCTTCATCTGGACCTGCTCCACGAGGCCTGTAACTAGCCTGTAAAAGCGTATATTTGTCGTTTTTCCATGTCTTGCGTGTTTAAATGAATGTTCTGTTACCCACACACCGGTCAGTTGGTACCAAGAGAGGAAACAATCTGGCAAACTCAAAAAACCAGTTGTGACAATGGTCCCTGCTCCTCCTTCTGAAACACAGCCAGTGCACGTGGTGTTGAAAAAATCTGTGTTCAGGCCTTAAGTGACATGAGCTGAGGAAAACCAGATAAACCAAATTGACACACAGAGGGACAATTTTGGTTTTTCCCCCGGATTTCCCTCACAAGGCGCGGCTCGGGGGCTCAGGATGTGTGGTTCCATGGTGTAATGGTTAGCACTCTGGACTCTGAATCCAGCGATCCGAGTTCAAATCTCGGTGGAACCTGAAGCTTTTTTGCAGTGGGCAAATTTCTCTGCTGGAAAATCGTGGAAAAGTTGTTTCAGGTGTTTTTCATGGACTGTTGAAATGCCGTGAACTGCTGACATCCCCTGCTACCTGGGAAATATATGGAAAGTGAAAGAGGAAGAGAAAACAAACACAGAATTTTCCTGATTGTATTTTTTTCCATATCTATTACTTATTGCAGCCAGGTTGGTATATTCTGACAGGAATTATCTGAAGAATCTCAGAGATGTCACAGCTCACTGGAACATCAGTGGTTCTTTTATTTCTACACTGGGAACACGATTCTAAATTCTGCATTAGCGAAGCTGGAGGCACCGCTGAGCTCCAGGGCAGGTACAAGGATTCCGTGTGTCCCTAAAAACAGGTGTTCTCCCACTGCCCATGTTTGCTTCCTGCCATCATGATACTATGGGGTGACCTTATTGTGGCCTTCCAGTACCTAAAGAAAGTGGGGAGGAGCCTTGGACAAGGGTATGGAATGACAGGTCAAGGGGTGATGTTTTAAACTAAAAGAGGGTTGATTGAGACTAGAGATAAGGAAGACATTTTTTACTGTGAGGGCAGTGAGGCCCTGGCACAGGTTGCCCAGACAAACTGTGGCTGCCCCTGGATCCCTGGAAGTGTCCAAGGCCAGGTTGGGCGGGGCTTGGAGCAACCTGGGCTAGGGGAAGGTGTCCCTGCCCATGGCAGGGGGTGGGACTGGATGAGCTTTAAGGTCCCTCCCAAACCAAAACAATTCTGTGAACACAATGAATCCTGCAGGATAAATATGGATATGTAGATCGTGTTAAATTCCTGCCAGTCACTGCAGGTCCAAGGACAGGAGGAACAGCAGTTTTCCCACTGGGATTTGTTGAGTATGGATTTATTGCCCGGGCTCCCAGGGCTGGGAGGCACCACCTGGTTCTATGGTGTAATGGTCAGCACTCTGGACTTTGAATCCAGCGATCCGAGTTCAAATCTCGGTAGAACCTGTCGGGATTATCCCGATTTTTCCCTGTTCCATGGGGTCACATTGCAGCAGGGATGGAACTGCCTGGGACAGAGCTCAATGCCAAAGGCTTTCCGTGACCTGATCCTTTATCATGCTGCTCCCACTTTTCTTCACTGGGATGAACAGCTGTACATTGGACAAAAAGGACAGGACCTTAAATAATTGCCATAACATTTTAATTGGATATTCCATTATATTTCACTGATGTTTTACACGAAGTCTTTTTTGGGGGGAGGAAAAAAAGGCGTTTACACTGTGGAAAACTTGCCTTTCAGTAGGTGAATGTGCTGAATTTGGACATTGTTTTTCAGCTGCACCCAAGTACTCACTTGGAAAATGGGGGCAGGAATGCCGTGGTTTTAGAGCAGGGATAATGTCACAGATGGAACTGTGCACAGTTTGAATGGGTATTCCCAGTGCTTTGCTGACACACACCCTCAGTGTTTGCTTTTCATTTCCAGGGTTGCTCAGGACACCAGAACACCATCTCCCCTCCTGCAAACCTCTCCTCACTAGTCACTGGTTTACACAGCAACAGGAACATCCCTGCTCTGTGCCAGCAGCTCCTCCTCCTCTTCCTCTGGCCAAGGTAACCCTTCTGTACTGTCCCTTGAAAAGAAACCACAGGACACCTTCAGATCAATTTATTATTTAGTGGAAGTTCAGGTCCCAGCTGCTCAAGGGAACATATGGAAATGTTTGCTCAATTCGTTACATTTTCACCCAACCCATCGATGAAAAATCCCTTGTCTGTGTCAGGGCTAATTTTCATCCTTCCCTCAGCTGTTTGTTGGATCAGGCCACACACAAATAAGGATTTTATTGTTCCTTGTGCACCAGTGTTTTAATTAACTCTCTACAGTAACTTCAGTGTAATTAGTCAGCCCTCACAGACTGGTTTCATCCTTCTCCCCAGGCACCAGAGCTTTAAAGCCATAGAGGCTTGTCTGCCTTGCAGTGATTCAGTATATTAATTTACAATTCTAGAGAGCAGATTACCATTTCCCATAGCAATCTGGCAGCTTTCTCCTTCCATTTATGAGAGTTGGAGGTGTAGCTGTGACCCAGAACTCTCCCAAACAGCTGAGGCACTACTGGTGCCACAGACATGCTCAGCACTCCAGACAAGTGTGAAACCAGGTGTACTGAGACTTTTTATGGGATGAGATGGAATCAGTGCAGAATTAAGCATCAGGATTTATTCAGGACAGTTCATGGTCATGCTCCATTTGTAAACAAAGCACTGAAATTTGGGTAACAGAACATTGTCCAGATGCAGCCCAGCTGAGACTGCTGCATATGGATATATCCTTGACTGTCAGGGAAGCACAGCCCCTGTGACTGAGCAGGGCACACACTCCTGGGGCTGAGGGAAACCTCCTGCTCAAGGCAAAGGGACCTCACAACACACTGGAACAGCCTCAGAGTACAGAACTACAACCCAGGCATCCAGCACTTGATGTGCTCGAGTCAAGAACACCCAAGACAATTCCCAAATTAATTGAGCATTTCCAGTTCCCTTCCCAGAATCCCTCCAGTTCAGAATTTTCTAAAAAGCCTCTAGAGACAAGACTGTCTCAGCAGAACATTCAAGGCAGAGGTGAAGCACTATGGCTGTGGCCACACCAGGAGCTTTTCCCCTTGCTGAAAAGGCAGGAGCAATGGAAATTATTGGCTGCCAAAAATTAATCAGGGAATTAAATAGTGCTGTATTTTCAGAAGTGTGGCTGGAACATGTGTTGTCAACAGTAACACTTTCCAACTACAGGTTTAAAAGACAGAATCAAACCTTAGGCAAGTGTTTCACTATATATGAAGCTGTAATGAGGTTTTCTGATACCTGAAATTTCAATGAAAGCAGGTGGAGGGGGAAAGAAAAAAATTTTCTTTCCTTTTCAACTAGCACTATAAAGAAAAGGGCTTATGTTTTACTCCAAAAAGTCTTATAAAAAAAAAGCTAACCAAAATAAAAGACAAGTCTCAGTTACTTAGGTCACTAATGATAATACAAACATTCCATGTAGCCACTACAAGCTCAGTTAGATGCCCTCCTTGTCTTTAAAAAGAATTCTGCAGCAGCCAAATAATCAACAGCCCTTCACACTGTGACCTCAAGGGGTTAAAACACTGGAGCAGATGGAAGAAATGGTGGATTCAACTGAAATAGTTTATTTCTTACACTGAGCCACAGATTTCCTGGGAGCAGGGCACAGATTTCCTTCCCCCCCTGACCAGCCCATTCCTGGGGGTCCCCCAGTGGCACAGGGAGTGAGGCCCTTCAGTGCAACAGCCAAACACAGAGGCCAGAGTGCCACCCACCCCTGAGGAGGATTTGTCACCTTGCACAAACAGTTCAGGGGGCTCCTTTCAGAACAAGGCAGCTCTCGTGTCATTTAGTGAAGATTTCACACTTTTTCATACCACTTCACCCAGTATATGCACATAAAAAAATAAGCACACTGTACAAAGAGCAGAAGCCATATAATTTAAACATGCATCCAGCTACAAACCATATATACAGAGAAACAGGCCTATACAAACAGAACAGGACACCTTAGTACATGATAATTCCGTTGGAGTTTCTGGAGGAAATCGTGGCAGATAAAGAAAATCAGACTGAAGGAGGTGGATGTTGCTTCTAAAAGAAATCTGTTCCCAAATGTCATGCAACACCCCAGCTTTCTCTAGCAGACATTTGTCACAGTTCCAGCTACACACACAGGTCTTCCCACGACTTCTGGCCTCCCTTCCTGTACAGAGGTAGATTTCTGGTGATGTTCTGATATTGCACCACGTAAGTACCACGTTTTTATTACAAGGGACAACTGGGGCTAATTCATGGGGATAATCTCATGGTGTGCATTCAGGTAGTGCACTAATCAAATCCATCTGCACTTGAAAGAAAACATCCCTCCAAGTGCAATGGTTTCTTGTTTAGGTGGAGGCTGCAATTATTAACAGCTTCACATTAAGAGAACTATTTCTTGTCATCAGGGTGACACTTGAGTGTCTCTCTCCTTTTCAGCCAATGCCAGGACTTGCACTGCCTTCCCTGCTGCTTTATCCCATCCACTGGGTTCAGGTGAAATGTGGATTTCAAACACACACAGGTTTTTGCAGGATTAGACCTTCCTCACACATGCTCTTGTAATATTGAATGTACAAGAAGATTAATTCAAACTGCATGAAATGATTAAAAAAGCCCATCCACCCTTTCAGGCTGGACAAGGAAAGGTGGAACTTTGCTAGTTTCAAACAGCCATTAATGGTGAACAGATTGGATGTTACCAGGAGAATCTGAGGAAGTCTGGCAGGAGTTTAATTTTCTTTTGTCCATCCATTCTTGAACAACCCTCTGACAACTCAGGACACTGCAGACAAGCTTGCATGCCAAGAGCACTTTACAGTGTCTGTTAAATGAAACCTCTACAGCATACTTAGAAAAATAAGTGCACCAAAATTCATGATGCTGATGTATCTTAACTCTGATGAGTTCACAAGCATTGCTCAGGACTTTTTTCTCAGAGGCACCCCAGGAAGTTATTTTTTGCAGAAGTCTGTCAACATGGGAGACAAATGAAAGAACAATCTGGGCATGTTTCACTCTCAGAGAGAAGCCAAGCAGCACCACCACTCCTGGCTGCAAGCTTTGAAGACAACTTAAAGTAAGTTCTCTTTTTTTACCAACCAACCAACCTATTTGGAGCTATTTTAAATGAACCAGTCAGCATTAGCTTCCCAGGTTCAGTTTCTGTGAAGCATCCTGTGACATTACATCAGGAAGGAATGGTGGCTAGTTTGGAACTGAGTATTTTTTTGCTGAATTACAGATACAAGGCATATAGAAATTCATTACATCTCTTCATATACTCACTTGTCCTTTTAAAGGGCTTTTTCCTTAGCCAGACAAGTAAATCCCAAGTTACTTCACACCAACTGCAACAATACTGAAATTCCTGTGGACTGTTCTCCTGTGATGACAGGGATTGCACACCTAGGAGTAGGAGTAAAATCATCTCACCCTCTTGGAGGAGCCCATGCTGTGAAGTGAATGGAATGCTTCACTCCAGGGAGTAACTTCTTCAGGAATTACACTCCCAAAGGGCTTCTGGACCTTGCGAGATCACGTTTTTGAATGAAGAAATCCATGAAACGACACACAGTAAAAGTTAAATGACAGTGGCAGGAACCAGAGCTTTTGGAGACTTCTGTGGTTTTGCAAAGCAGTGGTTCTTCCCCAGGAACAGTCCCCAGCTGGGCAGTGCCTCACTCACCCTGGCTGGTGCTCCGTGGTTGCATAGAGGGTCCCCGTGGTGACCCCAGAGCTCAGCACAGCTCTGCCCTGTCATCTGTTACCACTTGATGTCCAAACTGCTCGTGCTTTGATTCACTGCACTGTATGTGGTGTGCAAAGTCTCCTGGGCCTTCTTGGAGTCCATGCCCTCCAGCCAGTCCTGGTACACCTTCTGTACGTGCAGGTTGGTTTCTGGCAGCCGGACGGGAATGGCAGCGTACACCTCCTCCATCTGGGCAAGCAGGGCTCTGTCTGGCTTGCCATCCTCAGTCTGGGCCTGGCCTTTGCCATTTAGGCACCCTTAGGGGAAAAAAAAAAAGGAACAAAAGAGCTGCAAGGGTGATGAGGTTTGATATGAGGAGAAATTTTAACTCAAAATTCGTTTTTCACACTTGGCTCTACATAAACTGCCCCCAGTGCTGTTACAATTTGTATTTACCTAAAGTGACTCTGATATCAACATCATCTTAATGGAAATGAGGTTTCCATATCAACAATCTTTCCCTGCCTTCTCTGTGGTTTTATGATCCTAATTATCTTATCTCTTCTTGTCCTTGACAACGACCATTTCAGGGGATTTCCTCTGAGGTTTGGAAGTGCCAGCACTGACTGATAGGTCAGAAGAGAGCCAGAAACACTGGGGCTAATTTTGGAAAACCCAATCAATTCCTGAGCCAACCCACAACCTGTAACTGGTGTTCTGGACCCTTCATTAAATAATGAGATTTTAGATTATTAAGAAGGGAATTAGGAAGGAATGAAGTGCTTGCCTTAGGGCAGCTTTCTTTTGAGATTCAAGACGTGCACAGAGCGTTTGGGGATCCACAATTATTCTTACCTCCTGGGCAGGCAAGGACTTCTACAAAATGGTACAAAAACTTTCCTTTTTTCAACTTCAGGACCATGTTTTGGATATTTCTAAAGCCATAAGCTGCTGCAAAGCGCAGCACTGTCTCCCCATCCTTCTCAAGGGTAACTTCTTGGAAGTCCTTGTTCCTGTCAAAACACACAGAGAATATTTTAACCCCCTGTGTTCCCAGAGGAGCAATCCAACCGTGTCAGTTTGTATTCAGATGCTCTAAAGAGAAGAGAACAAGTGTAACAGTAAGATCAAGGTGAACTCTTCCAGTTTCTAAACTGTGTTAGGCAGAAATTGGGGTGTAACTCAAAATAGAATTATACTTAATTTTTTAAGTGTGGTTAAGCTATCAATTAAATGAATGCTGTCACAGACTTACAGGTTTATAACATATAACTGCCTATCAGCCAAAGGGCAGTAACTGCATTCACTGCAGCACCAACTAAACCAGGGGAGGTTCAGACTGGACTTCAGCAACCCTTTCCTTACCAAAAGGGTGGTCAGACCCTGGAACAGAATCCCCCAGAGAGCTGGTTAATTTTGGTCAGCCCAAATTCCTCAGACAGTTGCACTGGATGATCATTGTAGGTCCCTTGCAACTGAAAATATTCTGTTCCAACTAGCCAGTCCTACATAACAAGGATACAAAACTCTTGACTTACTTTAATGCTTTGTAGGTGATTTCCTTGACATCCATGCCAAAAAGCTCCTTTGCAGCATGTTTAAAAATGTGCTCCAGGTAACCATCAGACCTCTTCCCATCGTGCCTTACTACCTCTCCCTCCTTTATGTCAGCAAACCTTAGAAGAAAACAGAAAGGAAGATCAACTCTGAAATTCTGTTCCTTCCCTTCAGTCAAGCAGTATGTTTTTCCCTTTCTCTATCTCCCCCACCAAAAAGTGTTTTGTAGCACTAAGTAAGAGCACATTAACATTTTTATCACAGCTTAAAAAATGTAAACTGGTCAGGACAGCAGCAAGATTGTGAAAAAAAATAAATAAAATATATATAAAATAAAGGCTGTAGGGCTTTCCATGTTCAAGCAACAGTAATTCATAAGAATGCACATTCAGCACAGCCTAAATATTTGGTTAACAGCCATTCACTGCTCAGGAGACATTTTTTGGAAAATATTTAAATAAAATTTAAATAAGTAGTTTTTTGTGAGAATATAAAGTTACAAGTCTTTGCTGACAGACAATTCTCCTGCTCCAGGAGCTGTTTGTCACAGTCTATAACAGTGTGTCAACAGAACACTGAACTGGTACAGCTGCAGCCAGGTTAGAACAGTGTACCTTGAAACAAGTGCTGTGCTCTAGCTCAGGGAAGGCAGTGAGAGCTCCTGTCCAAGGCCATGGCCTTCTCCTGGAGCTTCACCTCTGCCCCAGTTGGGAGCAGCTCTGCTGAGCCCACGTGGCTGCAGGAGGGGCTGTGCTGGGACACTGCTGGGGATCCCAAAGCTGCAGCTCTGGGGGCTCCTGTTCCCTTCTGGCAGAGGAGGAATCCACGTGGGGTGTGGGAATGCCACTCCAGGAGGAGACACTGGTCTGATCAGCAGGCAGGCAGATGATGTGCTTTGCTCTCCATGTAACAGCCCCTCTGGGTGTAGTCTCCTTCCCTTCTCCCAGAACACCCAGAGTGCCCTTCCCTGGCACTGGCAGCTCCTGCCTGAGCTGATCCCAGCCCAGAGCTCNTAGGAGAAGTGCTCCAGCCCCTGGAACATCTTCCAGGCTTCATCTGGACCTGCTCCACCAGGCCTGTAACTAGCCATAAAAGCGTATATTTGTCATTTTTCCACGTCTTGCGTGTTTAAATGAATGTTCTGTTACCCACACACCGGTCAGTCGGTACCAAGAGAGGAAACAATCTGGCAAACTCAAAAAACCAGTTGTGACAATGGTCCCTGCTCCTCCTTCTGAAACACAGCCAGTGCACGTGGTGTTGAAAAAATTTGTGTTCAGGCCTTGAGTGACATGAGCTGAGGAAAACCAGATAAACCAAATTGACACACAGAGGGACAATTTTGGTTTTTCCCCCGGATTTCCCTCACAAGGCGCGGCTCGGGGGCTCAGGATGTGTGGTTCCATGGTGTAATGGTTAGCACTCTGGACTCTGAATCCAGCGATCCGAGTTCAAATCTCGGTGGAACCTGAAGCTTTTTTGCAGTGGGCAAATTTCTCTGCTGGAAAATCGTGGAAAAGTTGTTTCAGGTGTTTTTCATGGACTGTTGAAATGCCGTGAACTACTGACATATCCCGTGCTACCTCGATAGCGTATGGAAAGTGAAAGAGGAAGAGAAAACAAACACAGAATTTTCCTGATTGTATTTTTTTCCATATCTATTACTTATTGCAGCCAGGTTGGTATACTCTGACAGGAATTATCTGAAGAATCTCAGAGATGTCACAGCTCACTGGAACATCAGTGGTTCTTTTATTTCTACACTGGGAACACGATTCTAAATTCTGCATTAGCAAAGCTGGAGGCACCGCTGAGCTCCGGGGCAGGTACAAGGATTCCGTGTGTCCCTAAAAACAGCTGTTCTCCCACTGCCCATGTTTGCTTCCTGCCATCATGGTACTATGGGGTGACCTTATTGTGGCCTTCCAGTACCTAAAGAAAGTGGGGAGGAGCCTTGGACAAGGGTATGGAATGACAGGACAAGGGCTGATGTTTTAAACTAAAAGAGAGTTGATTGAGACTAGAGATAAGGAAGACATTTTTTACTGTGAGGGCAGTGAGGCCCTGGCACAGGTTGCCCAGAGAAGCTGTGGCTGCCCCTGGATCCCTGGAAGTGTCCAAGGCCAGGTTGGGCGGGGCTTGGAGCAACCTGGGCTAGGGGAAGGTGTCCCTGCCCATGGCAGGGGGTGGGACTGGATGAGCTTTAAGGTCCCTCCCAAACCAAAACAATTCTGTGAACACAATGAATCCTGCAGGATAAATATGGATATGTAGATCGTGTTAAATTCCTGCCAGTCACTGCAGGTCCAAGGACAGAAGGAACAGGGCAGTTTTCCCACTGGGATTTGTTGGCTATGGATTTATTGCCCGGGCTCCCAGGGCTGGGAGGCACCACCTGGTTCTATGGTGTAATGGTCAGCACTCTGGACTTTGAATCCAGCGATCCGAGTTCAAATCTCGGTAGAACCTGTCGGGATTATCTCGATTTTTCCCTGTTCCATGGGGTCACATTGCAGCAGGGATGGAACTCAATGCCAAAGGCTTTCCTTGACCTGATCCTTTATCGTGCTGCTCCCACTTTTCTTCACTGGGATGAACAGCTGTACATTGGACAAAAAGGACAGGACCTTAAATAATTGCTATAACATTTTAATTGGATATTCCATTATATTTCACTGATGTTTTACACGAAGTCTTTTTTTGGGGGGAGGAAAAAAAGGCGTTTACACTGTGGAAAACTTGCCTTTCAGTAGGTGAATGTGCTGAATTTGGACGTTGTTTTTCAGCTGCACCCAAGTACTCACTTGGAAAATGGGGGCAGGAATGCCGTGGTTTTAGAGCAGGGATGATGTCACAGATGGAACTGTGCACAGTTTAAATGGGTATTCCCAGTGCTTTGCTGACACACACCCTCAGTGTTTGCTTTTCATTTCCAGGGTTGCTCAGGACACCAGAACACCATCTCCCCTCCTGCAAACCTCTCCTCACTAGTCACTGGTTTACACAGCAACAGGAACATCCCTGCTCTGTGCCAGCAGCTCCTCTTCCTCTGGCCAAGGTAACCCTTCTGTACTGTCCCTTGAAAAGAAAGCACAGGACACCTTCAGATCAATTTATTATTTAGTGGAAGTTCAGGTCCCAGCTGCTCAAGGGAACATATGGAAATGTTTGCTCAGTTTGTTACATTTTCACCCAACCCATCGATGAAAAATCCCTTGTCTGTGTCAGGGCTAATTTTCATCCTTCCCTCAGCTGTTTGTTGGATCAGGCCACACACAAATAAGGATTTTATTGTTCCTTGTGCACCAGTGTTTTAATTAACTCTCTACAGTAACTTCAGTGTAATTAGTCAGCCCTCACAGACTGGTTTCATCCTTCTCCCCAGGCACCAGAGCTTTATAGCCATAGAGGCTTGTCTGCCTTGCAGTGATTCAGTATATTAATTTACAATTCTAGAGAGCAGATTACCATTTCCCACAGCAATCTGGCAACTTTCTCCTTCCATTTATGAGAGTTGGAGGTGTAGCTGTGACCCAGCACTATTGGTGCCACAGACATGCTCAGCACTCCAGACAAGTGTGAAACCAGGTGTACTGAGACTTTTTATGGGATGAGATGGAATCAGTGCAGAATTAAGCATCAGGATTTATTCAGGACAGTTCATGGTCATGCTCCATTTGTAAACAAAGCACTGAAATTTGGGTAACAGAACATTGTCCAGATGCAGCCCAGCTGAGACTGCTGCATATGGATATATCCTTGACTGTCAGGGAAGCACAGCCCCTGTGACTGAGCACAGGGCACACACTCCTGGGGCTGAGGGAAACCTCCTGCTCAAGGCAAAGGGACCTCACAACACCCTGGAACAGCCTCAGAGTACAGAACTACAACCCAGGCATCCAGCACTTGATGTGCTCGAGTCAAGAACACCCAAGACAATTCCCAAATTAATTAAGCATTTCCAGTTCCCTTCCCAGAATCCCTCCAGTTCAGAATTTTCTAAAAAGCCTCTAGAGACAAGACTGTCTCAGCAGAACATTCAAGGCAGAGGTGAAGCACTATGGCTGTGGCCACACCAGGAGCTTTTCCCCTTGCTGAAAAGGCAGGAGCAATGGAAATTATTGGCTGCCAAAAATTAATCAGGGAATTAAATAGTGCTGTATTTTCAGAAGTGTGGCTGGAACATGTGTTGTCAACAGTAACACTTTCCAACTACAGGTTTAAAAGACAGAATCAAACCTTAGGCAAGTGTTTCACTATATATGAAGCTGTAATGAGGTTTTCTGATACCTGAAATTTCAATGAAAACAGGTGGAGGGGGAAAGAAAAAAATTTTCTTTCCTTTTCAACTAGCACTATAAAGAAAAGGGCTTATGTTTTACTCCAAAAAGTCTTATAAAAAAAAGCTAACCAAAATAAAAGACAAGTCTCAGTTACTTAGGTCACTAATGATAATACAAACATTCCATGTAGCCACTACAAGCTCAGTTAGATGCCCTCCTTGTCTTTAAAAAGAATTCTGCAGCAGCCAAATAATCAACAGCCCTTCACACTGTGACCTCAAGGGGTTAAAACACTGGAGCAGATGGAAGAAATGGTGGATTCAACTGAAATAGTTTATTTCATACACTGAGCCACAGATTTCCTGGGAGCAGGGCACAGATTTCCTTCCCCCCCTGACCAGCCCATTCCTGGGGGTCCCCCAGTGGCACAGGGAGTGAGGCCCTTCAGTGCAACAGCCAAACACAGAGGCCAGAGTGCCACCCACCCCTGAGGAGGATTTGTCACCTTGCACAAACAGTTCAGGGGGCTCCTTTCAGAACAAGGCAGCTCTCGTGTCATTTAGTGAAGATTTCACACTTTTTCATACCACTTCACCCAGTATATGCACATAAAAAAATAAGCACACTGTACAAAGAGCAGAAGCCATATAATTTAAACATGCATCCAGCTACAAACCATATATACAGAGAAACAGGCCTATACAAACAGAACAGGACACCTTAGTACATGATAATTCTGTTGGAGTTTCTGGAGGAAATCGTGGCAGATAAAGAAAATCAGACTGAAGGAGGTGGATGTTGCTTCTAAAAGAAATCTGTTCCCAAATGTCATGCAACACCCCAGCTTTCTCTAGCAGACATTTGTCACAGTTCCAGCTACACACACAGGTCTTCCCACGACTTCTGGCCTCCCTTCCTGTACAGAGGTAGATTTCTGGTGATGTTCTGATATTGCACCACGTAAGTACCACGTTTTTATTACAAGGGACAACTGGGGCTAATTCATGGGGATAATCTCATGGTGTGCATTCAGGTAGTGCACTAATCAAATCCATCTGCACTTGAAAGAAAACATCCCTCCAAGTGCAATGGTTTCTTGTTTAGGTGGAGGCTGCAATTATTAACAGCTTCACATTAAGAGAACTATTTCTTGTCATCAGGGTGACACTTGAGTGTCTCTCTCCTTTTCAGCCAATGCCAGGACTTGCACTGCCTTCCCTGCTGCTTTATCCCATCCACTGGGTTCAGGTGAAATGTGGATTTCAAACACACACAGGTTTTTGCAGGATTAGACCTTCCTCACACATGCTCTTGTAATATTGAATGTACAAGAAGATTAATTCAAACTGCATGAAATGATTAAAAAAGCCCATCCACCCTTTCAGGCTGGACAAGGAAAGGTGGAACTTTGCTAGTTTCAAACAGCCATTAATGGTGAACAGATTGGATGTTACCAGGAAAATCTGAGGAAGTCTGGCAGGAGTTTAATTTTCTTTTGTCCATCACATTCTTGAACAACCCTCTGACAACTCAGGACACTGCAGACAAGCTTGCATGCCAAGAGCACTTTACAGTGTCTGTTAAATGAAACCTCTACAGCATACTTAGAAAAATAAGTGCACCAAAATTCATGATGCTGATGTATCTTAACTCTGATGAGTTCACAAGCATTGCTCAGGACTTTTTTCTCAGAGGCACCCCAGGAAGTTATTTTTTGCAGAAGTCTGTCAACATGGGAGACAAATGAAAGAACAATCTGGGCATGTTTCACTCTCAGAGAGAAGCCAAGCAGCACCACCACTCCTGG